CCAAGATGGAATTGACTTAATGTGATATTAAAAAAGATCAAATTAAACTTTAATGAATGTGACACTCGGCGTCAGAAAAGGCGCTGCGGCCCTTTCCATGTTTTTACTGAGTCCGTAGATAAAACATCTACCTGCATCTCATTTGCTGCAGAGGGGCAGGGCACTCTCTCTGAAAGGGGCCTGGACTGAGGTCCCAGGGGCCGCTCACACCCTGTGGGAGCGCTTTTCCCTGGCTCTTGCTAGTTTATGGTTTTGAGCTCTGGGCATCAGTGACAGAACAGCGCAGCTGTGCCTGGCCCCACTCCTGAGGACCATAGAGGATGCTACACAGGGAATGGGCAGGATAAAGCAAAAACTCACGCTGGCGTGAACCTGATATGCGGTACCCAGGCTTGTTCTCATCCACTGCGGCCTTGAGGCAGCCAAGCAGAGCCTGTCTGTGCCTTCAGAAGAGGGCGAGGGAGCAGCCTGATCTTAACCATGTCCAGAGACTGGAGCTCACCTCCTGTAGACACACTGTGGGGCTGGGAGCCCTGGAGGTGCTTGGAGAGGCCCTGGGAATGGTGGCTCTGTTTGCCAGCAGCAGAATGGGCTCTGCTTATGGCAGACTCCAAGAGAGGAAGATTCTGAACCATGCCTGGGAGTCAGACAATGCTATAGCTCTGTGACCTTGCTAAGTTCAATTTCCCATGCCTCAGTTTTCCACCCTGTAAAATGGAATGACTCTTCTAGGAATGAGACTATGTGTGTCCAGGAAGTTTTCTGACTAAGAACATAGACCATGTTGACCATGGCCATGCCTTTCCTATCCTTAGCACATAGTGTGCTTCCTTAGGCTGAGAACCCCCTTTTCAACCCTACAACTGGTGTCTCCTATGTCTCTACTTTGCAGCCTAAAGGGTTTTAGTCACTTGCCAAATGTAGTGGCAGGAATCACCCTTGACCTTTGACCATCAATATCTGTTGAACACTCACCTGCGCTGAGCCCTGGTGGCTGTATCTGATGAACATGTACTGGAAAGGCAAGCTCAGGGTCACCAAAAGACACATCCAAGGCTCTCACTGTAGCCCAAGAACTGCTCCTGTCATCTCCCTGATGCCCAGGAGCTGGCAAATGTCTCAGCAGTTTCTTCCCAGGGAAACTCTAAAGATGCAACGAGAAGCTGCATTCTAGCACGATGCTGCCTGGGGGAGCGGGGGAGGGGGAGCAGGGGGAGGGGCGGCTCACAAACAGGTGCTAGAGAAGCCAGGAAGGAATGAGCTGGTTCACCTGAGCTCAAACTCAAGCAGAACTCCCCTAGAAGGTTAGAATCCCGAAATCTGCTTCCACCCACCCCCAGGAAGGAGATGGAGACCACAAGGAACTTGAAGCTGCTTTCTTCGGAGCAAGTCCTGTGTGGTCAGACGCACCGGGGTCTCTGCTGTCTGCAATCCCACCAGCTGTGTATTGATCATTTGCACACTACATTAAACCATAAAAAACAAATAGAAAACTTTAAATGGGCTTCCCTGCAGGAGTGGAAAGGGGAGGTGGAGGCTGGAGCTCTGTGCTCTGTCTGGTCAGGATGAGGTGTATTTTGCAACAAGCTCTGGACAAGGGGGTCTACAGCACCTGCTTAAACAGGAGCTGGACCAAGCTGAAGGGAGCCCATGCTGTGACTGGGGGACCTTGCCCATGAGCCAAGCTGTGCTCTGACCAGGAAGTGGTACCTTTAAGCCTAGAGGAGCCCATGCTCTGACTAGAAGAACATGCCTATGAATTGCCAGGAACCTGTTTTCTGATGTGGGGAGAGAAGAGGGAGGGGAAGGGGAAATTTCCTCCCCAGATAATTGTAGAGCCATCTCTGGGGGCTAGGCCACATTTGACATTTCACCTCAAGCCAAAGCAGCAGCTCAATGTTTGCAGAAAGCCTGGGCTCTCCCAGGGTCTGCTGTCCTATTTTTAATAGTCAGCTGTTGAGCTCTCTGCCAAGTGACCTTGTGAATTATTTCCCCATGAATCTGTGATGCAAGGATGCTGGCTCCCGGGAGTTTTTTCGAGGGTGGTAAGAATGCAAATCCCTCCATTAGAGCACCTGGGCCCTGGGTCCCTGGATGGACCCGCCCTGGGCTTCAACTTCATTGTCTGTAAGGTGGGGGCTGGTGTAGCCACGTCTTGTTTTGAGTCAAGGAGATAAACACTGGTCTCATGCAGCGTTGAGCATGGAGTCCTGTGGAGTGTTGGCTTGGGTTCTGACTCTCCTGGCCATGGAGGAAACAGGGACACTGGAGGGATCCTTCTTGTTGGGATGATAGCGAGTCTGCAGGCCTCCCTGTTTTGCTGTGTCTGAGAGCGAAAGTGTCACCAGTGGCTGCTTACATGAAAGGCCCTCTGCACTAAGGTTGTAGGGCAGTGTTTGGGGTAAATGCCCCTGCGGGACAGTAGAGGAGGAGGGCTTGGAAGTCTGGCCAATCAGGGAACGGAGGGCCTCTGCAGGGAATTTAGAGGCAGCTGGAGCCATATTAGCTGGGGCCAGTGGAAAGCAAGTTTAGCTGGCTGAGTGTGAGCAAGGGTGTGAGTGGGCTGCAGGACACACCCTCATGAGAGGAAAAGGTATTTGTGGACATGCTGTGTGATTGGTCTTTGTCTGTGATAGATTGTCTTCCTGGTTAAGGGAACAGCCAGGCAGGGCCCCCAGTGGGTGACCCACTCCGGAGTTCCTCAAACCTCTTCCACTCACTCATGACCCCTTTACTCTTGAGAAAGTCTTACACACCCTTGGGCACATGTGACTGTATGAAGCAGGTGCACAAATCAAACATTTACTGACCGTGAGTCAAAGACATCCCCATGTGCAAACAATTCTTGGGTATACATGGAATTTTACCATCTATGAAAGATGAAGGTAAATTTGCATGCTGATGAGATGTATTGCTTGTTTGTTCTTACGCAAAGAATTAAATCTCGGCTGAGTATTTGATACAGCAGGACACGGAGCGCCTTTCACGTTGGTCGATACTTTGATTGAGTCAATTCTGAAAACGCTGTTCGAACTATGTGTGGGGGCCATCTCAGAAACTATTAGCAATTCTATTCTTACCCCAAGCCAAGTTCATCTAGCATTTTAAAAAAGACACTGAAGTCAACAACTTAAATGTCATTTTCAAAAAGTCAAACATTTGAACACAGAACAATCCAAAGATAGACCAACTTAATACCTCCATGCTGAGGAGTGACGGGAAAATACTAAAGGTGTTTGTTTTCTGTAATTAAACCATTCCGTGTCTACCAAGCAGAAAACTGTTCAGTACAGACACTGCAGTTCTTAACACAGTAGTCTGAGCCGGAGTGCTCCAGGCAGCATCCGGCAATGCGTGGTGTAAGGGCACGCACAAGCAGAAGTGCTTAGCGTGTGTGTCCAGACTACAGTCAAATGGAGCAACCTGGGTGAGCGCTATGGGATTCTCCTTGGGGTCATTATACTTTGGATTTTTGAATTAACCTTTGGTCTCCGTATTCAGGAAATCTTCACTGCCATGAGATTATTTTGTAAGTCCCACATTCAGTTATGCCACCCGGGTATGGGACCGAAACTCACAGTGTAAGCATCTGTGGGGTACATGGTATGGAACCTATAGAGTCCAGGTCTGGGGATTCCATAAATTGCACTTGTAGCTTCTCTGTCCAGAGGCCTTCGATTTAAAAACAACTGGATGGCAGCAGGGGGTGGGGAGGGAGGGGGCAATACCACCTCTTGATGGAAAATCCCCAAGGTTCACATGGAATGGAGGACGCACCTTCAGTGGGTGTGGGCCTGTCTGTCTGTCTGTTACAACTCAAAATTCAAAGGAATTTATTCTGGGCAGTCCTCACCCACTGTGTATTCCTGAATTGTATGTGTGTTGATAGCTGTCCTGCCCTTCTAGCAATGATACTAGAAGTCTCCTGTAGTTTCTGGCCGTATGCCTCATGTCACCACCATAGAAGAGTCTCCTTTGGGACCATTTACACCCCCTGACCACAGTCCAGGGCTGCCCCCAGAAACGCACATGGCACAATTCCACCTGTATTTCCTGGGGGCAGCACTAATCGCTGGCTTTGATTCCAGTCTACCGTGGAGAGCTGGGTCTATATATTACCTGCCAACTTCAGAGCCAGGTAATATTGGACGTTAGAGAAGATTTGGTCATTCAATCAATGCCCACGGCCCTTTACAGCCCAGTGACAAGACCAAGGTCAGCTGGTAGCCGAGGTGCTGAGGCCTGGCCAGTCACAAGGACATAAACTATAGTAGCCAGTTTTCAAAGTTGTTTTTAAGAGGAAAATATATCTGGAAGTTTTAGAGATGAGATTTGCTTAAAGGTATCACACACACACACACACACACACACACACACACACACGCACGCACGCACGCACGCACGCACACATACACATACCACATGGTCTAAGGTTTACATAGGAAAAGCTACAGCGGGACCCCCAGGATACAGGGTCGACTCTAGCTCTAGCCTCAGTAGGTGAGTCACCCCACCTCAGAGTTTCTCCCTGTAGAATGGGCAGACACTGAGCACTTGGCCTGCAGGGAAATAAGGAGGCCCAGTATTATGGTGAATTTTGGTCTGTCAAATCCATGGGAGTTAGAATCGGAAACAAATCTCTGGGTGTGCCTGTCAGGTGACCCAGGATTTAGCCAGCACCAGTCTCAGGGCTGGGGCTCTGGACTAACTAAAAAGAAGGTGAGTTGAGCACCAACGCTTATCTCTTCTCTGCTCCCCGACTGTGGATGTCATGTGACTAGCTGCTTCCTGCCTGTGGGTGTCATGTGACCAGCTGCTTCCTGACTGTGGGTGTCATGTGACCAGCTGCTTCCTGACTGTGGGTGTCATGTGACCAGCTGCTTCCTGCCTGCGGGTGTCATGTGACCAGCTGCTTCCTGACTGTGGGTGTCATGTGACCAGCTGCTTCCTGACTGTGTGTGTCATGTGACCAGCTGCTTCCCGACTATGGGTGTCATGTGACCAGCTGCTTCCTGCCTGCGGGTGTCATGTGACCAGCTGTCTCAGGCTCTTGCTGCTGTGCCTTCACTGTTTCGAGGGACTGTATCTTCGAACGGTAAGTCAAAGTGATTCTCTCCTTTCTGAAGTTGCTTCTGCCGAGTATTTTGTTACAGTAAGGAGAAGGCTCACTAACACACAGACGGCTCTGGGGGAGCACCCTGACGTCTGCTCCTGCTGCATACGCCTGGAGGTGGGGAGCCCTGACTTCAGAAGAAGGTAAGGGCACATCTTCTACCCTGGGCCCTCCAGTCTGGCCACCCTGATGCTCTCTCTGAGCACCTTTTCTCGGGTAATCACACTGCAGGCCCCAGGGGGTGGGAAAGACTCAGAGCTAGGCTTCCAGCCTCAGGAGAGCCTCGCCAGTCTGTGCAGAATGCTGTCCGCTGCTGTCCATTGTCCCTTGGGAAATGACAGTACCACAAGCGTGACACCGTCAGGAAGGTGGTGGATAATGAGTGGGGGGCAGTGGGAGACAGGCAGTGGTTGGTAGACAGTGGGTGCTCGGCAGCTGGCTGTAGGAGCCAGTCATTGGGCATGGGGGTGGACATGGGGGTGACATGGAAGTGGACATGGGGTGGACATGGGGGTGGACATGGGGGTGACATGGAGGTGGACATGGAGTGGACATGGGGTAGACATGGGGTGGACATGGGATGGACATGGGGTGGACATGGGGTGGACATGGAGGTGGACATGGGGTGGACATGGGGTGGACATGGGGTGGACATGGGGTGGACATGGGGTGGACATGGGGTGGACATGGGGTGGACATGGAGGTGGACATGGGGTGGACATGGAGGTGGACATGGGGTGGACATGGGGTGGACATGGGGTGGACATGGAGGTGGACATGGGGTGGACATGGGGTGGACATGGAGGTGGACATGGGGTGGACATGGAGGTGGACATGGAGGTGGACATGGGGTGGACATGGAGGTGGACATGGGGTGGACATGGAGGTGGACATGGGGTGGACATGGAGGTGGACATGGAGGTGGACATGGGGTGGACATGGAGGTGGACATGGGGTGGACATGGAGGTGGACATGAGGTGGACATGGGGTGGACATGGGGTGGACATGGAGGTGGACATGGGGTGGACATGGGGTGGACATGGAGGTGGACATGGGGTGGACATGGAGGTGGACATGGGGTGGACATGGAGGTGGACATGGGGTGGACATGGGGTGGACATGGGGTGGACATGGGGTGGACATGGAGGTGGACATGGGGTGGACATGGAGGTGGACATGGGGTGGACATGGGGTGGACATGGGGTGGACATGGAGGTGGACATGGGGTGGACATGGAGGTGGACATGGGGTGGACATGGGGTGGACATGGAGGTGGACATGGGGTGGACAGTGGACATGGGGGTGGACATGGGGTGGACATGGAGGTGGACATGGGGGTGGACATGGGGTGGACATGGGGTGGACATGGGGTGGACATGGAGGTGGACATGGGGTGGACATGGGGGTGGACATGGGGTGGACATGGGGTAGACATGGGGTGGACAGCAGGCACTAGGTAATGAGCAAGGAGCACTAAAATGCTGCGCTAACTGACAGCACAGCTTATGTAGAAACATTTCTAACTGGCAGGTGGGAAAGCTGTGCTCTGGCCCCACAACAGAACCTGCAGGTGCTGCTGTTGGAAACTCCAGCTACCTCACCCATCCGCACCCCCAGTATCCCAGACACGCCAAGAAGTCCCCTTGCAGGCATCGACAATCCAGGTATTCCCAGCCATGAGCTCCAGGCTGCCTCTGTGAGGTGCCAGCGCTTGTCACCTGCCGCAGGCTGGCCCCCACGGGCCACAGGTGAGTGCTGAGCAGCTGTGACTGAGCTGTGGCCTCAGAATCGCCGGCTCTCATCTGCTCAGATAATGGTCGGACGCGGCCACTAAAACATTTCTAAGTGATTGCTTGTGGATCACACACACACACACACACACAGACACACAGACACACACACACAGACACACAGACACACAGACACACAGACACACAGACAGACACACACAGACACACACACACGCAGACACAGACACACACACAGACACACACACAGACACACACACAGACACACACACACACAGACACACACACACACACAGACACACACACACACAGACACAGACACACACACACACAGACACACACACACACAGACACACACACACAGACACACACACACACAGACACACAGACACACAGACACAGACACACACACACACAGACACACACACACAGACACACACACACAGACACACACACACACACACAGACACACACACACACACACAGACACACACACACAGACACACACACACAGACACACACACACAGACACACACACACAGACACAGACACACACACACACAGACACAGACACACACACACACAGACACACACACACACACACACACACAGACAGTTCATCTATCTGGTGACCCACTTCTGGTCTTTTGTGCAGTGGCAGTTGGAGAACTGGGCCGCAATGTGCCTCGGTAAGAAAAAAAATGTTTTAATAGGCTCGCTGTTTAGCGTCCCATCCTTCCAGGCCTCAGACAAAAATGAAGCTTATTACAGGTTGGAAGTGGGCAACTTAGAGGAGGGCGGGGCCAGGATAGACGGCCAGTCTCAGTGTCACCAGAGGTCCTTCCCCTAAATATTCCTGGGTCTCATCTCTAGGCTCAGGGGCACGTGCGACTGTGTGAGCCTGCGGTGTGAACCTGGGGTGTGGACCTGGGGTGTGAACCTGGAGTGTGAACCTGCGGTGTGAGCCTGCGGTGTGAAACTGGGGTATGGACCTGCGGTGTGGACCTGGGGTGTGGACCTGGGGTATGGACCTGCGGTATGGACCTGGGGTGTGGACCTGCGGTGTGAGCCTGCGGTGTGAGCCTGCGGTATGAACCTGGGGTGTGGACCTGCGGTGTGGACCTGGGGTGTGGACCTGGGGTGTGGACCTGGGGTGTGGACCTGGGGTGTGAACCTGGGGGTGTGAACCTGGGGGTGTGAGCCTGCGGTGTGGACCTGGGGTGTGGACCTGGGGTGTGGACCTGGGGTGTGGACCTGGGGTGTGAACCTGGGGGTGTGAGCCTGCGGTGTGGACCTGGGGTGTGGACCTGGGGTGTGGACCTGGGGTGTGGACCTGGGGTGTGAACCTGGGGTTGTGAGCCTGCGGTGTGGACCTGGGGTGTGGACCTGGGGTGTGGACCTGGGGTGTGGACCTGGGGTGTGGACCTGGGGTGTAGACCTGGGGGTGTGAGCCTGCGGTGTGAGCCTGCGGTGTGGACCTGGGGTGTGGACCTGGGGTGTGAACCTGGGGTGTGGACCTGGGGTGTGGACCTGGGGTGTGGACCTGGGGGTGTAAACCTGTGGTGTGAACCTGGGGGTGTAAACCTGCGGTGTGAACCTGCGTGTGATTCTGACGGGCCCCCGTTATGTCACCAAGCCTGCAGGTGTTGATGTGTCCCTCAGCTGGAAGCCGGTGGCCAGCTTTCTGGTGGCAGGAAAGGGGCCTTGTCTCTCCTTAGGACTCTGGTCATCATCGCTCAGAGCCAGCTTCCCTGCCTGTGTCTCTGAACACACAGTGGCTCACCCAGAACGTCTGAGAAGTAAAGAATAAGCTGAAGGCGGGAGATGAGAGGTGCCACGCCCCGTCCATCTGCAGAGAGCAGGAAGGGCCCTCATGTGCTTCACTGTGAACCTGCAACCAGAGGGGTGGGGTTGCCTAGGGTCTCGGGGAACCCAGCTTTACTTCTCCTGGGCATATACGTAAAAGAGCCTGCACTCCCACGGAGATACCCACACACTTGTGTTTATTCCTGCACCAGTCACGACATCCAGGAAACGAAGACCACTTCGATGCCCGTCAACAGGTGAATGAGGGATATAAGAGCGGTAACATACACAAACGGAATAGTATTCAGCCATAAGGAAGGATGAAGTCACGACATTTGTAGGAAAACTGTTGTAACCAAGAGCCATTGTTAAGTGAAGAATTTCAGACTAACGAAGATGAGGACTTCCTCTCACGTGAGAAGCCTATATGTGCATATATACATATATCATAACATACTATAATAGATGTAATAATATAATATATATTCTTGGAGATGGCATTCCCTCAGATACCAATGGTTGGTATATAGATAGATGTCTGGCTGGGTGACCAGGCATGGTTTATTGTCACTAGGAGGTTGTCTATGCCCCTCAATGACAGAGAAGGTGGTGTGTGCACCCCTGGAGACCATGTTGCTTCTGCTGGCACACGGATGCAGCTGTGTGGACTGCTGAGATAATGCGTGGTGGCAGCTTTCCCCATTCCTAGAATGACAGAAGGGTTTCTCTGTGTAGCTTTGGAGGCTGTCCTGGAACTCACTCTGTAGAACAGGCCGGCCTCAAACTCACAGAGATCTGCCTGCCTCTGCCTCCCGAGTGCTGGGACTAAAGGCGTGCGCCACCAATGCCTGGCTGACAGAGTTCTTAAATGATGGTATTTACACTTTTTAAGATGGGGCTTCTCTTCTAGAAGCATTTTAGATACTCATGGAAGCTGGGGCACTGTAAGGACAGTGGATTGTAAGGACCGAGAGGCCCTCACACCCTGCCAGCTCCTCTGCTGCCCACACACATTGCCCTAGTGCCTTACGCTGCAGAAAGACAGCACCGGGGAAGTCCCAGACTGCCTTGGAACCCTTCTCCGTGCAATCCAAATCCCATTCGAATCCCAGGAAGAGCTAAAAATAACTGTATCCAATGGCAAGATGGTGTCTCTGAAGACACCATCATCATCAGGCTGGCTCTGCCCGCCTGCCTTGCCTCTTAATTACTGGTGCTACCTACAGCTAGCTATTCAGGCTTTGGAAACATTGCAGTTGGAGAAAATGTATGGATTTAGAAGTGTCTCTCCGCGTATTTATTTTTAGTTGTTGCACTTAATTCAAGAAATACTACCCCCCAAAAAAAAACAGGCACAATATGTTGCACAATATGTAACTTAAGAAAGCATTCCCTGAATTCTGACTGTGGCCTTATTTGCCTAGCACTGCATGGAGACCTTGGGAAAGCACCTAGAGGCCCTTGAGTGGGGTCTCCTCTATAGGCAGCTGGGCCTTGCTGGCTTGAGATTTCTAAAGTTCCCTGAGAGCCCCCTCCCCACCCCAGCAGAGGCAGCTGGGACTGACAGAGCCTTCCCACAGGGACCCAGGGCACTTTCCCGAGTCACTGAGGTCACAGCACCCAGGTGGACCTTACATCAGCTGCTGATCCTCTGTGTGTCATCTCCCCCACCCTTGCGAGGGGACACCTACATCATTGTGGACAGGAAAGCTGCAGGGGGGAGAGAGGGGACAGCGCTAGTGCACGTGCAGCGCACACAGGCACTGATTGGGTTTCTCTGACTTACTGAGTTAGTCAAATGGAGGCTTCATCTCTTTGCAAGGGTGGAAGAAAAATAATAATAAAAGATTCAGCGTAATGTGATCAAAGGCTTCTCCTCTCAAATTCCTTTACTAGACAAACCCAGAAATCCAGCTGCAGCTGGGACCACATTACCGCCATGGAGACACGTGGTGGATGGAGGGACCGTGTGAGGACTGCTCCGTTTGAAACATTTATCTTGCATTCAAAGTGTCCCACATTTGAGGCTAAACTATTACTGTAATTGGATTTTAATAAGGCCAGAGAATTGTCTAGAGCTTTGCTTGCTGCCTGCACCAACGTGAAGACGAGGGGGCCTGCGCGGTGCCGCCCGCTCCACTCCGATTGCGCAAGTTTCCTAACTCAGACCTCTTGCAAAGACTCTCTTCCGTTGCCAGGCATAGTCTCTTTGCTCCCCACACCGCGGTGTTCTACACAGTCCACACAGTCGTGAGAGCAGCGACCGTAAATCCGTGTTGAGGGAGACGGATGATTCTGAAGTCTCTACAGTGGGAGATTGCTTTATGATACTTTCATTGCAAGTTTGTAACCTGAACTCCCACGTTTTGTGGCTGTCTCTGGGCTTCTAATGAGCCAGGCAGATTTCTGTGCCTCTGAAAACCCCTCTCAGCCTCTCCGAAGAGTTTCCCATGCTTAGTAAGGGAGAGGGAGAAAAGGATGGAAGCATGCTACTCTGGTGGCTGAACCCATTCCCCCCTGCCCCCCCTGCAAAGCCCGGTATGAGGACTGGGTTTCCCTGAAACACAGACCTCGGGTTAGGGGTCTCCAATGCTGTCTTCCCATGTCCTTTTCTTAATGTACCTCTTGCATGCCCAGAACACTAGAGAAGACTAGACGTATCCTGCCTGTGGCCTGGTGGCTACTTAATCCCCATTCCACATGGAAAACAGCAAGGCCATTTGTCCAGGCCCACACCCTGTGCTCTGTGTGTTTGTTTCCCTAATTAGGAGCATGGGGCGCTAGCTAGGACTTGGGGGATTGCTTCAGAGAGTTAACGGCTGCCTTGACTGTACCCAGGGCTTCCACTGGCCCTGTGTCCTGCCCTCAACCCAGAGGATAACCAGCAGAGGCTGCCTCCATCTTCTTCATCCACAATTCATTCCCAACCCGGAAGTACTTTTTTTTTTTTGAGACAGGATCTTATGTAGCCCCAGGTGGTCTCAGATTCCATGCATAGCTGTGAGTGGTCTTTAACTTCCCATCCCTCTGCCTCCACCTCCCAAATGCCGAGTGACAGGTGAGCATCACCACGCCCAGAGTTCCTTGCAGACTAGACAAGCACTCTACCCTCCGAGGTCCATCCCTACCAACCACCTTTCCAGAGTCCAATCAACCATCATGGCTTCCCACAGTGCCTACCGCTCTCTTTACTCTCCTCTGAATGTAGCTGGCCACATGGGCCTCCCCCCCTTGGGAGACTTGACTCATCACCCTTACATCACAGACCCGCCTTCCACCATATGGGCGAAAACAGCCACGAATTGGGAAGCGGTTTCCACAACAAGAGAAACAGCCCCACGCTTCCACCCTAAGCAACGTGTGAAGCCGTAAGACAGTGAGCATGTGCGAGGAAAGAGCCCTGTCCCCCACGCGGGCCTCGCCAGGGCTTCCTCGTCCCCCACCGGGGCCTGGCCACAGCTTCCTTGATGGTTTATCTTCTGCCACGTTAAGTCAGACACTTCTGGACCAAGCCCTGGGGTGGGGGGAGCCGGCAGCTTGATGTGAACCACGGAGAGGGCTGAGAGCAGTGTTTGTGACAGCCTTTGTGGAGATCAAGGGATGTCACCACCCAGAGACTCAGGGCAGGACCCAGAGGAATCAATTGTGTCACTGGTTCCAATTAGGACATTAGTTAGATTTATACAGGACAAGAACACACAACTGCCACATTGGCCCCATGCCTGGCCTGCTAATGACACCAGGGACCTGAGAGAGGCCAAAGTCCGGGGGAGACCTGAGGAAGGGGTCGCAGCCTGGGGTCCTATAGATTCCAATGCTTGTTTGCACGAGGCAGGAGTGGGTCACTTTGGTGCCCTGTGGGCTTCATTCTGGTTTGGGTAAAGCCCCAGCAAAGGGCCATGGCACTGAATGTAGGGCTAGGATGGGGTTTTGGATGTGGCTGAGCTCTCTGGCTCTCCGTTTCCCCCACCCGAAACAGTGAGATCCACATGCAGCTCATAGGCTGTGGATCATATGACCTGGTGGTGGGGAGAGAGGTCTTTGTCACTGCCAGTGACCTTAAGTCAATGTCTGTCCCTACTCAGTGCTACCCAGCACCATGGAACAGGGAGCACCCCACTCTCCACCCTGTCGATGTCTAAGATGAGGCTTTTTAAGGGGGTCTGACCGGCTTCTGAAGGGCATTAAACTACATCCTTCACTAGCAAGCCACCCTAGAATCGTGACCATCAGAATACTTCCAGATACTTCCCAGTGCCCACCTCCCCCCAGTTGATAAATTACTAGCTCCAAATTAAAGGAAGAAGACCCAAATGTCACCACAAGTAACTCACCAGTCACCAGTGACAAGAAAATACAGATGGAGTCTATGGACTTCCTTGGCGTCAACTCAGGTGCCAAATTATCTCTGGGCACGTAGGGAGATGATGCAACACAAGGCATAGAGCTTACCCACCTAATAGACTCTCCCCGAGAGAGAACCTATGGTATCAAGCCAGCCTGAGGTGACAGAGCCATGGGTGTTTCGGAGAGAACCTCAGGTGTTGGCCCTGTGAGTGTCCCTCCTTGGTGATAGCCCAGGATATACTCTACTCATGATCCCGCCTTAGCCATGAACTCTGAGACCCTGGGATGCATGCCCTTCCTGTCACAGGTAATAACAAAACCCCAGATCCCGGGACAGAGGTACCGTGATCGGATGCAAGGACACAGGGCAGGCTGTCGGGTAGCAGTGGGACGTAGAGGGTAGTCTTCAACCCTCAGAGCTCAGACAGGCAGCGAGTTACTCTAGGCTGCACCCCTGGGTGCTCTTGGCCAACCTGCTCACATTGGACTTCTCTAGCTAAGGTGAGCCACAGACAGTTCAAACAGGTAAACAGTTGCTTGTCAGGAGCGCAGTGTCAGCACATGGCTGAAATAAAAGACAGCTTGGCTCACATGACCAGATTGCCTGCCAAGATGGAAAGAAAATGCCCAGTAAGCGTGATGTGGCTCCTCACGCTTCAGACACGCCTGAGGCTACATTCCGAGCTTGCTTCCAAGACCAGGAACACTTGTGACATGTGACACACGACTTTCATTAGACTTAGGCAAACCTGGGGTGAGTGAGGACCCTTCCCCCAGGCCCCAGCTTGTGTAAATCTGAACACTACCCTCTGGGTTGCTTTACCAGAAGAAACCTAGGGTGCTTAGTGGATTAGCTTTCATGGTGCCTCCCTTTGACGGAGCTAGTGGCAACATCTCTCACATTTGGGTCAAGGTCTGCACACTGGAAAATCCGGTGCCAGACGATAGCAGGTGCCTGCCTGGTGCACCTCCCTCCACCTGACCCTGGGTGAACACCTCACTCTGCCTCTGCTCAGCTGTCTCCTTTCACCACAGGACTCAGCCCCATCGTACACATCTGCACCCCTCCTTCTTGGGTGCCCGCTCTCACCTCAGGACCCCGCAGGCCCATTTCAAGCCCTTTAACACAACGCCAGGCCTTATGTTCTAGTCTTGTCAGTGTTTCTATCTTCATGGTGCTCTAGGGTCTCCCCTAGACTCCCCCAACAACCATGAGGAACCATTAGGGCCAAGATATTTCAGTGAACTAACGGTCTCAGTAAATCAAGTTGCAATACCATGATTGCCTTATGAAATAAATGGAACAGGCAACCACAGGGGACCCTCCCCCGTGTTTTCTCCATAAATGCCGAGAATGTGGATCATTAAGGCACTGTCTTTAGTTTAGAAAACACAATCTATAATATTCTTATGGAGCAAGTTATTTCCAGCATGGCTAAATCCTGTCAGGAACAACAACCAACAACAACAACACCCCCAAACGAGGAACGAAAGTAGTGATGCTGCGTTTTGTGATATCTGTAGCTATTTTGACTGCACCAACCTGTGGCCACTAGGGAGCCTGCACCATGCTGTGGTCACCTATAGTGCTTGGGAAGGCCATCTGGCACCAGGTGGTGGGGCACACCTCTCTAGAACATGCCTCTCATTGACCCTTCCGGCTGCACACGTCTTCCACGGTACGCGGCGGGTACAGCCGAGCTAGCATCACGGCTGTGGGAGCACCGGAAGGCTTGGCTTTTTCCCTCAGATAATATAATCTTACCCATAAGCCACGCCGCACAAGGGCTGGAGTTACGGTTTTCACATACAGCCAGCTATAGAGGGGACACTTCTCACCCACACAAGTGACATCTCAGAGTCTTCTTCCCAGTAGACAGTGAGACTCCTCAGGTGTCTGCCACAGTTTCCTTGAACCATGAACACCACTCAACCAACCGTGGCAACCCGAAAGACCCATGGCGGCCTGATCAGCAGCATCAGGACACCAGCTTACGGGAGTAGAAACAGACACTGGGAAATGTGACCGTGCGCCTATATCATCCTCGAGGACAGAACCCAGCTCCATCCCTAGGCTGCTGAGATGCAAGAGTTCTTCATGGGGAGAGCAGGTTCTAAAGCACTGAAATTCCGCATTCTGCCTCAGTTAGGCCATTCTGACTCTACTGGAGTCCTCAAGTCATGTGGTATGTGAGCTTCCCGAGACTGAAAAGTCCATAGCAATGACTTTACTTTTGTGATTCACTGTTTAACTATTTCATCTTCACCCCTTCATTCATTTGCACTCGTTAGACCAAAATATACCAAGAGATGCCATGATAGACTTGGAAAATGTAACCCACATCCCTCGCACACAGACCAAGGATCATTGGTCTGTAGATGCACCGTGGGGGGTGGCTCTTACTGTACATGGGGTCTTCGCTCAGACATCTCTAAAGCCAGGAAACCGGAAGGAACATTCTTGATGCCGTGACAGCCAGTATAGACACACATATGCCCAACGTTAGCCGCGAATCACTTA